TACAAAAGTACTTTCCATTACAATGAAAGAAGGCACTACCTCATATATGCACATCGTTCCTATTTCTCTTATTGGTAACCATAGCAAGATTTCAAACCTTTCCACGCAGTTTTATACTTCACAGGTACTCAAATTTATAAGCAAAAGGCCAAGCCCTAAGTGCACTAAGGGGTCGTTTGGATAGATCAAACTAGAAATGAGTCAATTTGATCAATTGTCTCGTTTTATAAATGAGGCAATTAAAACGAGTCAATTCGAATTACCTGCCCCCACCCCAGGTAATTGAAATTGACTCAAAACGGATCAATTCAAAATACCTCAGGCAGATTGATCCATCCAAATTTTTTGCTGGCAAACGAGGCAATTTGGTACAATTGTCTCAAAACGAAACAATTGTGTCAAATTGATCCGTTACAATTCCTCATCCAAACGACCCCTAAGGTCCTAAAATGTTCTTGACACTAGAGAAACACCAACATAAAAGTATCAAAATGTGGCCAAAACAAGTTTCAGCATCTTCCTACTTCCAAGTTTGGGCTTCAGGTAAGAAGCTGCAGAGAGATTGTTATCTTAGCTTATCATACCATGATTGGGTCACCAGAGGATGAAACGGTAAGACATATATTTCTTTGAGATAATGCCAGATTGACTGTGGTTCAAGCTTATCAGAATTTAAGAACAATGAACCTTGTCTCGGCCCCGTAGAAATAAAGAGAACACAAGTGGTAGCTATACTGAATCTATGGCTCCTGAGAGATTAAAAATTCATGATTCAACATTCTAAACTGTGTGGTAACAAATAGCAGCTTGCTTACATGCTGTTGCTATCGCACATACTCATCAAGGTTTAAACGTACCTCTAATTGTTCAAGGCGCTCTCTCTCATCCTGGGCAATTTCTTCTGGTGTCTTAGTCCTGTCTGATGGGCGAGCACGGATATCGAACACCATCTCAGAGAAAAGCTTATCGTAATAATCAGGTTGTTCCTACAGAGATACGAAAAATATTTTAATCATGCCAACGAATTAGGAAATGCTCACTGGAATTTAGAGCTTTCTAGCAATTCCAAATAAAGAATTGATTGGAGTTACTACAATATCAAAGTAAACAAAATACAGAATGTTCACTAACCAGCAGAAAATGTCAATTGCTACATGAAAAATGAACGCATATTTCGAAATGTTTGGGCCAAAAAAATGTTTGAATAAGATGCCATGTATTACATGCTTTTTTCTCTCTTTTTTTTTACATGTGTGAGATACCAATAAATAGTTTAACCTACTCTAAGCAATTTAATCAGAACTCAGAGCAATCAAGTAATACCTGACTTGGAATTTCCGGTTTCTTAGCAGTTAACAACTTATTGTTTTTGTCTTCATCCTTAGGAATGATCTTATTCACTGCAGCTTTCAAAGCACTCTTGCCAGGCTCAATCAAAGGTGAAAGGACCTTAGACTGCTCCAAAGATGTGAATTTCTTATCCAATTCTTCCATAAGCTTTTCATTCTCTTCCTTCTCTTTAGCCTTTTCAGCCTGGTAAGAGTAAATACAGTGTCCAAATGAGATCAGAAAATAATGTCAGTGTTACCATTAGCTACTTTCAACAGGAAAACTGAGGATATGTACCTTGAAATGTTTGCTCTTCAATATAATCTCCTGCATTACTTCCTTCTTTGATTTATGTATCTGCAAAGGTATATTCATGCTTTTAGCAATGGCAAAGGCATACTTATAAGCCAATCTTCAAAGACAAAGTGATTATGGAAAGTCTGCCATATTGATGGCAATGGTAATGTCAGTACAACTTCATAACAGTCATCACGGATTCTTGCAAGATAGAAACAAAGCTTCAAAGAGTAACTCATTGAAAATATTCTTACATTTTCTTCTGCTTCTGTCGTACCATCCTCTCCCACGTTTGGAGCATTAAGATGCCTTAAGATTCCTGACTTCTCTGTATAACAGGAAACGAGCAGACTTTTAGCCAGCGGCAAAACCTAACCTAACAAGAGACGACTATTTCTGTGCTTTAACCAAGTTTTGACTGAACCCGCAATCTGTATTTCTTGTCAGGTTAGTAAGACCATTTCAATGAGTTACTCTGAGGATTATAAGACGTAAGAACCAATAGGAAGAAATGGACTAAATAGAACCCGCAATTAAGTTAGATTACTGCTGGCAATAAGCAGTCGATACATACTTTTTCCTCCATTCTGTTCTCCATAATCATCTTCGTCATCAAACGGCACTTCATCCTCAAAATCATCCCTTTCCCCAAACGAGCCAAGAGCGGAAGTGCCAAAATCATCCTCCTCTCCATCTGACAAGTTGTACTTACTCCTCTTCCCCAATTTCATCTGACAAAAGTTGAACCCAAAACTCATAAGCACCAACATAAAATTTGCATATTTTACACTTCTCCGCAATCCATAAGGACCAAGAACGCTACATTTATACTAGCTTCCAGTCAACAGAGGAGAAATTGAACCTTATGCTCCCTCTGCGACCGCATAACCGCTTTATCAAACTCTCCAAGCTCATCGTTGTTCTCTCCAATCCGGTTGTCGACGAACATAGATGACTTGGTGCTCCGCTCGTAGTCCTTCAACAGCGTGCTCTTCCGCTTGTCAATGGCCTTGGAGCGGGAGAGGCCGACTCGGCGCTCTTCGCCCTTGCGCTTCCGGCCGAGGATGTCGAATTTGCGGCGGGACCAAATCGTCTCGAAAGGATTGTCCGCCGCCGGAGCCTTCTGTTTCATTGCGACCGCTGTTGGACCGTTTCTTTTACTCTTATTGCCCTTCTTCTTCTGGCTGCCATTCTTGTGAGCTTTGTTCTGAGTCTTGGCCATGGCGAGCGATTTGGCTGGCGAAGGCAGCAGCCGGAAGGAGGGAAAGAGAGGACAGGTTTCAGGGTTTAGGGGTTCTGTTTCTGTTTCTCATGTTGTTATTACATTACAGGTGGCTTTAGGGGTTGAAGAAAGGATGGGTTAATGGGCTTGGGCTGATAATTGAGCCCATTAATTGACCCACGAACATAGTCCACGAAAAACCTCATGCGTCAAATAGCCCATATAGGTCTCAGTCCAACACTCTTACTCTGTTACGAAGATCTCGTCAGAGAAATGCTGAAAATTGCTCAACCTCCCTAACAAATTTTCCTTTCCCTTCTCCGATTCTTACTTTGATTTCTTCCAGTCCTTTTCAGTTTCGAACGAGGTAAAAGTGAGGAGCTTTGAAGCTTAAACTCCTGGAAAAAAGGAAGAAAAAGAAAGACCAAAGCTAGCAAACAGAACTTCATACCAGTAGCAGCAAAGGTCGCAACAACTTCTTTTTGCCTCCATCTCTTTGTTCCTATGTACGTCCTTGGCCAACCCTGTTCATTGTTTGCATTCCTTAGAATTGGGTTTCCTCTGGCTTCAAGTTCCGAGCACTCTAGCCCATCTGGGTCAGGCGCAATTGTGTCAGAATTATGCTTCATAGTTTATGTCGGCTACGTGTTTGAGTAAATCCCTGACTGAAAATTTTCAAGCCTTTGTTTCACCGTCTGTGTTATCTATCTAACCCATCAGGGTTCTTACACTGGCAATCTCTATTTTACGTGTCCAGCAGAGGCATATTATCTACTGAGATCGCAAAGTTCAAAGTTTTGTAATTTCTCTAAGCAATGGGTGGGTTTCTGTCTTGCCTTGGTCTTGCTGATAGCCCAGCACAAAATGCTAACGGCAACCACAGGGATCGATCTTCCGAGAGTTCCAGCTCCCTTTTCATGGAGGTATACAGAAACCCAATTGGGACTTGTGGTTGACTGAACTAATATTTGAATACTCTAGGGTAATGCCGATGTTGAAATTGAAGGGTTTTGCATTGTGTTGCAGCGTGGAAACCAAAGCGGAATGTCAAGTAAGGGAGAAAATTTAGTAGCAGTTATTTACCCCTCAAAGCTTGCTGCTACAGACTTGGATGACTTTCTCCCATCAGGTGCGGTGGACGAATGTCCCATATGCCTTGAAGGTATATATGAAGAATTTTACTTCCTTCAAAATGGTTACCTCCATGAATGCTTGGAATAATTTTTCTGATGGATGTATTGATGATGTTCTGACAGAGTATGATAGTCAGAATCCGAGGACTGACATGCAATGTAAGCACTATTTTCATCTTTCCTGCGTGCTGGAGTGGGCGCAGAGAAGTGCAGCATGTCCAATATGCAATCAGGTGACTGCTAATTCTACAACGATATTAATTCATATTGAAGTAAATATCTTGATGTTAATTTTGACACTCGATTTCTTCTGTCGGTATTCCTTCAGGAGTTTGTATTTGAGGAAGAAACCTGAAGAGAGAGCACGAGTATACAACTTGCCGAGAGCCATGGCACCTTGTAGAAAAAGAAGCCCCTTTTTCTCTGGATTCTGCAAACAAAACTCTTCACCATCTACAATTTTGGCGATCTATTTGTTCATTTCATTCAATTCGTGTACATAGAACCAATCATGTGTTCTATTTTGTCATGGTTACTTTTTTCCCCTATGGAACACAATAAAAAAAAAAGAGAAAGAAACAAGAAAGGTGATGATCACTTGAGTAATCAGTAACTTGATTTCCAAGAAGGTGGTTCTGGGAACAAGAAACTTACAATGTTGCCCTACCCTTCCCAACACACTGTTGCAAAGCCTTGCTTCAGAGTTGAGGAAGTCCCAAAACAGCTAGTAATTTTTTCTGGATCATACTCTATGAATTCAAACAGGAATGAGTACTACTTATCATGCACCACTTTCCATAGTTTTTGGTAAATCAGGAACTAGACTTTCCTTAAACCCTAAAATGGAACCCAGAACCCTAAATCCATTTCCTGCTAAATCAACAATGAAGTATTTCCTTAATAAATCCCTAAAATAGATTACAGAATACTCAATCCAACTCTTTCCAACACATTTCCAGTTTCACTTCATCAACCTAATTAACTTATGAACCCTAATTAACCAGAATCTGAACTAGCATACCAGCAGAACCTCCAAAATGAAAGATGAAACTGGAAATAGCTCTAAATCCACAATATGCATTTCATACACATGCTCTTCTTATTATCATCACCACCATAAGTGGGGTAAGAGAGCCAGTTCATGAGCAATATATCAAAATCCAGTCCCTTCCACGCGTCTCCTTTCACCTCACCAAGATGCTTATAAACTATATATAATACATAAACACAAGTTCACCATTCATGGTTTCGTACCCAAAACATTATATATGTGAATAGCAATTCATAAGAGCTAATCAGCCAACCAAAATTAGCAGCCATGGCTAGCCAGTGTGTATACACATGAAGAGTGCATCATGGCTGAGAGTCTGATAGGTGAGCTCCCTTAGATGTTGGAAAAAACTGGAAACTGCAATATTTTCAGGCAGCAAAGCAGCCGAGGTTGCAGGAGTAAATGGGTTCCAGGCTGAGGTCAAGGTCATTCCTGCTCGTCCTGCCTTCTGGACCCTGCTGGTGGTGATGATGATGATGATGATGATCTTCATGGTAACTAGTTCCACTGCAGTCAATCCATAAACAAGCAAGAATTGAAGGAGTCGAAAGGAAGAACTAAAAGATTGGGGGGGTAGGGGGTTTAATTGGTAAGATTTAGTAACAAGGAACAACTTACCCAATGTTCAAGGAAGGGAGTGGTGGTGGTGGCTGTGGGAGAAGGAAATGCGAAGGGCTTGGAGCATGATGGTTTTGGTGTGTCCAGAATGCCTGCGGCTGCTGCTGATGTTCTGCCACTGCCACTGCCTTCTCCTTCTCCTTGATCTGTAAATGATAAGATGAATTTTTCATATTGTTCATTGATCATATGATCCAATTCGAAAAGTCATTATTGACCAACCGACCTGCTTGGCTAGAACATCATTTTGCTCTTGGATTGCTTTTTCCTGTCAAAGATACAAAAGGTTTGGTAGAATGTTATGTAAACCATAATTTGTAAATCAATTAATTGATGTGAGACCAAGACTACAGAAAATCTTATACTTAGCCTTATTATATTAAACAGCTCGTCTAATGATAATGTATCAATAAAAAATTTCAACCATTCAAGTCATTTGATGGTGTCAATCGAAATATACTAGACACTCCGGTTGTCACTCAGTTTGGTTTGGTTTGGTTAACCAAACCATTAAGTATGAAAAATCAAAAATCAAGTCTGGCAAATTGCCAAAATTCAAAACTGTTAAGTGCCTTATTAGTTATTTGTTAAACAATAATCCATAAGTTCTCTATCAATTTTGGTTTAGTTTGGATTAACCTAAGAAATAAAAACCAACCCCATCGTTTGGGAAATTCAAAAATTGGAATTAGAAAAGACAACAACTACATAAGTTGGTGACAAAACGTTGTTATTGATATATATAGGCTTAGTAAGGGATGTTATAGGTTTCTTATTGGTTTGTATTTTTAACTAGAGTCAAAACCATTAAGATGCTAAATAGTTTCAAAATCGAAAACCAAGACCATTAAACTTCTTATTGATTTGGTTTTGGTTAAAATCGGGAAACTAAAACCAATCTGACCACCGTATTAGACGCCATGCTTGAAAATGTTTGTTGTAATAGCTACTAGACTAGAAGAATAAATCCATGAATTAAAATTCTTTATCCAAACTGAGTGATCCTAATTACTATATGGGTCCATTAACCTTGATTAACCTAAAATGGACTGAATAGTAACTTACTTACATGCATTACCCAAACTAAATTCAATAACAAGGGATACTACCATACAGACGTTTTAAATGAGCTTAAAACTAATCCGTACTATATAGAAACTCTTGCCTGCTTCCTACATTCAAAATTTACCATGTAGGTATGCACACCCGAGCCTATCTATTTTGTGTAAGTGGAATTCTCAATCATTTTCTTTGTATTACATATAGTTCAACTTAAGAGCACATTTTTTTTACAATTTAAGAGCACATATTATAAGTGCGAGGGATAATTAATTATATATTAACTTATTATCATATTTTTATAAATATTGGAAGCATAAAAAGCATTTGTATAGAAATGAGAATTAGAATATAACTTATACAAGCAAACAAGTAAATAAATTATAGTACTACCTTATATATATATTATATATATAATTTATGGTTCAAAAATGCATAACCTTACGCTTAGGTACGTCTAGGCGCAAGGCAATGGCAAAATGCCTGGTCTAAGGGTTTCTCGCCTAGTTAGATACTAAAACACGTCAATGGAGTAAGGTGTCATCTAAGTCTCTCCTAAACATAACTAGATGGAGCTAGGAAGTCAATATTAAATGAGAAAATTAACGTCAACTATGAAATCCAATTTCTATATCAATATTTTCAATAGCTCAATAACTTTGTGGGCTATTGAGCTATGTTTCCATGAATTCGTGAACTATGTTCTTGTCATTAAGTATTGAGTAAGTTATTAATCATTTTAACTGAAGTGAGAAAGTGTTGTAGATTATTATTTCATTCATCATGCATACCAAATAGCTATTTTTCTTCCAACGCCTAGACACGCTTAATTTAGGTCTAGCTTACGCCTAGCGCCTTCTTGAATATATAGAATTGATGACTCACCTTTCTCTGAAGAGATGAGATGGACTCATGCATCAGTTGGTTCTGCCATGAATCCAAGAGAGAATGAATACTTTATCATTATTTAATCAGTTAAACAAATTATACTAATAACTTTAGTACTAATTAGAAAGTAGAAACTGCAATAGAGCATGCATGCAGGCTAGGATTAATATAATAATAATATGTTAATTACATACTCTTCTGGATCGAATGTTCTTGAGAGCAGAATCGAGCTGCTGCTCTAAGTTATGCAGCTCTTTGGTGCTCATGGTGTCCAGCTCCTCCCCCATATAGTGCCTGCACCAAATAATTCAACAGCATCATCCCCTCCCCAATTTGGTTCCCAGAGAATCAATTGACTAATCACATAATATAACAGCTGTTGGAATCAAAACTTGATCAATATATATACCTGTGGTTCCTCTGCAGAAGCTCAATCTTGGCCTTGAGCCTGTTGTACTCCACAACCCAGTTCCCCTGCAGATTTTATGTACACACAATTTGTTCATCAGTCTTTGTTGCTAATTAATTAGTAAGATTGATAAACTGGTAATACTTATATATATATATAATATATTTACTACCTGTGTGTCAAGTTCAGTAGCTGCACCTACAAGCTGCCTCTCAGCGTAAGAATACCTCTCATAGCGCTCTAGTATTTTCTCCATGCTGTACATGTTTCAACACAACCGTAATCACAGATCAGCATTCCAAGAGAGAAAATAAAGCAAAAGGTAGTAATAAAAACACATCAAACGTACAGCGAAAACAAAAAAAAATTTAAAACCCATAAGGGAGATCCAAAGCCAAAGTTCATGGGAAGTTGCACCACCACAAACACACCAGTCGTAAACCCATCGGATAATAAGAAGCCATCTTTCCTGTGTACTCCCAACTACGTACTGTACTACTATAATAATAGAGCAGAAGAAGGAAAAAGGAGAAAAAGAAACATAAAATATTACCATACACAGACTCAATTAAGCTAAAGCTCACTCAAATCAAATACCAAAAGGGTAGAAACCAAATAAACCATAATCTGAAACCCAGATTGAAGATATATAGTTAACTAGTTAGGCAGTGAATTACGACGTACGAGGAGTCGGTGGCGTATTCGAAGAGCTTCCCTTTGTGGGAGAAGACGATGAGGGCGACCTCAGCATCGCAGAGAACAGAGATCTCGTGGGCTTTCTTCAGCAGACCAGCTCTCCTCTTTGAGAAAGTCACCTGCCTGTTGATCTTGTTCTCTATCCTCTTCAGCTGCACTCTCCCCCGACCCATTTTTTATATTTTGCGCTATTATTCTTGGACTCAAAATACTATTATAAATTTTCCCAGGTGGGTAGATGAATTTTGCTCAAAATAACCCAAACAGCCAGACCTCAACAAACCCACAAAAAAACAGAACCCCCAAACACCTGAAACCCCAATCTAATTTAGTAGTAGGAGTAAAAGTAGTGTGTTTTACCCTCCCCTTTCTATGGCATGGCAGCAGCTACCACAGCTCTCTCTCTCTACCTACACATACACAGAAACAGAATGAAAGAGAAGGAGGAACTCTTATCACTAAAATGGGTTTCTGTTTCTGTGTTTTCTTTCCTGGCTAGCTCTCTCTTTCTGGGTTTCACTTGTTTCCTTTTTTCTTAGCCCTCTTTGCTCTGGTTGCTAAATGGGGTTCTGTCTAAGACACCGTGCACATATATAGAATTGGCAACCCCCAACTCTCCCTACTAACTTTTCTTCTTATCAGGGAGAGAGAGAGAGAGAGAGAGAGAGGAATAGCAGTAATGGTGGACTGGTGGTGGTATTGTTGGTGGTATATGTGAAAGAAATATCAAAACCACGGTGGTAAGGAAGGAAGGGATAGATGGATGGGAAAGGGACGAACTGAGAGATGTGGGGAGTTAAGGGTTTTGTTGTTTTCTTTTTCAGAAGGAAAAAAAAGAGGTTATTTGTGGTTAGGGGATGTGTTGTCGAGTTGGGATTGGGTGGGGCTTGTACTGTCTCCCTCCTTTTGTTCCTGTCTTCTTTCCTGTGGTTGCTTGCTCTGTACCCAGTGACAACCACACTCTCCCCCTTCTTTTTCAATGGCGCATTACTGCATTCATTTCTTTTCCTCAACCTTTCCCTGTTTTCCTCTCTCTCTCTCTCTCTCTCCCTGCTTTAGAATTAGGGTGGTGTTGCTACGTAATGCTGGCTAGGGGGTGACGGGTCAATTAGGTTTGCGGGTTGTTTACTTCATGGATTTGAAAAAATGAAGGTTTTGGTAAAACTTGGGTTTTGGAAAACCATGGATATATGATGGATTTGGTGGTATTATGGATTTGAACTAGTCTATTGTTTGCTTGATGGATTTGATTATGGAATTTGTTTGATTAGATTTGTGGATATTAAATACAAATTACCTAGTTACCCTTATTTAATTATATTTCTATATTATAATTCAAATCTTTCATTTAAAACCACTGGCGGATCCAGGGGGTGGCCACCCCGGGCCTCGACCCAGCCCTCCTCTAGATCCGGAGTTAGTATAGTCTTTATGAATTTTTCGATTTTAGTTATTCGGCCCAGTGTTATTTTATAATAAGATCGGGTGTAACTAGAAAAGTGATTCAAATTAACTTATTCAAATCACTACTATAAATTTAGCCTAGAAATTCGAACTTCAAAGATTATTCTTCTAAAAAAACAATGAAATCTAAAATTCTGAAAGTCTAAAACAAAAGAGTATACGAAATATGAGTTTTGTTCCCTGAAAATTTACTAAAGCAGCTAGTGGAGAACCTTTTCAGCAATGAAACATATGAAAACTGATTTGTGCAACAAAACGAGCGATGAATTTCTCGCCGATTACTCAAGTATTTTATTTAAAACAGTGTATACTATTGGTATGGATGTGGACTCCATTATTGATGTATTCGCTAAATTAAAATATCGTCGTGTATAATTTATATTTTAAAAAAAACTATAATATTTTTTTACGGTTCTAATTTTCTAATGAAATGCGGCCTAGTGCTTTTCTGCGTTCTGGATCCGCCGCTGTTTAAAACTAATCCAAAACATAGAAAGAAATTTTAAACTCTTTACCACAATGTGGATTAATAATTCAACTACAAATATAGAAATGTATTACAATTTGGCACTAATTAACAATTCATATTGGCACTAATTAACAATTCATCTAATAATCCTTCATAAAAAAAACAATTCATCTAATAATGTACGCAATATTATGTATCAATTGCAGCCAATTGTTCGCTTTATTGCTACAACTCATCATCTTCTTGCTAACTCACCGATGAGGAATCCGACGATCAATCAAATAATAATGTACAAGATGAACATAAAGTGTTTGTAGGTGAATCTAACAAATCACATATACATTCATATTTAAATAAAATACGATATTACAAAATGAAATGATAAATTCTCAATTTTATAAAATACGAAATTATAAAAGTTTACAGTTGCATGACCATTGAATTAAAGTAGGACAAATTTGTAATTAAAGAAATAATTAAGGGTAGAAAGGTAATTTACCATCATGGACTTGAACCGAAATCCATGACCAAATCCATCACCAAAACCCTCAAGCAAACGACCCCTTGGTTAACAGAATCGAGAACACAGGCATTCTTTCACAAAAACCTAAACGTGATTGATAGTTTTTTTTTTACCTTTTATCCTTTTTTTTACAAAGGAAAAATCTTTATTGCACTGTGAATGATCGATTAGAGAGAAAAAACAAGAGGATACAAACTGAATTCAAAACAAGCGTACAAAGATGAACAACATACGATTGAAACACAAGTCGTACTTGAAAGATACAATGTGAAAGAGCAAAGCAGAGAATGTGAACCAACCACCAAAAGATCAAACACTTGGTCCAAAAACAGAGCACCTACTCAACATGAAAGGGAAGAAATCTGAAGGCCGCAATGGCTAGAAAAATGAAAACGAACCTGAAAATCTGAGGGAAAAACGCCCAGAAAAGCGACAAAAGAAGTGCGAGCAAGAAAGGAAGAAGAAAAGAGCAAGGGAGATAGTTGGGCTACCGCCGTTCACCAAAAGGAGACGACGACAACCCCAAAAAGCGGAACCTAGATCTGAAAGTTAGGGAGAAGGGAGAGAGCTTTTTTGAAAATAAAGTTAGAGAGAAGAGTTAGGAGTAGGCAGAGTCTTCACTACGAAAAGGTTGTTAAACCCCTATCGAATCCCCGGTCCGACCCGAGTCGAACTTCAAAACGGCCTCCCGAAATCCCCCGGTCTAACCCCTAAAGAGGGAGAAGAAGAGAGGGTAAAGAGAGGAAGAGGAACGAAGTAAGGGAGATGGTGGGTGGGTCGTGGAGGTTAGGTAGATTTATTTTATGGAAAATAAGTTTTTAATAGATATATGTAAGATAAATTTATTTCAGTCATTAAATCTTTAATTGCTATCTTATTTGTAAATATATTTAGAAAACATCTGAAATGGCTCAAACCGGCCGGACCCCGATCAAACCATTAAACCTCAAACTCCTTACTTGACTGACTCAATGACTTAAACAGGTTTGTCAATCTAGCTACCAGTATTGTTTTAATCCATCCACTTCATAGTTACACTCACAGGCAGAAGAGCATTAAAACAGTGACAACAGAAGCTTTTGGTGCAAACATGAATAATACTACTTAATATAACTAATAATTAAAAATTTTGGATTTTATGGAGGCCCCAAAAATCTTGAGAGCCTGTGCTGGTGGGCTTGCCAGCACATGCCCATGGTCAGTCTTATGGTCTGTACATAAACCAGACGATTTATAACCAAATTTTAGATTTGATGCATGATATCCAAATTTTAGATTTTGAAAGATTTATTTTGAAGGTATGCGGAATGTTGATTACAAACAGACAGAAGAAAAGGCAAATTGGTATTTTATTCAAATCTCATACCATTAATTTTCACATTCTTGAACCCACTCCAAATACAGAATAGCCAATATTCATTTCATAATTCTCGAGTTTTCTATATTGTGGAAGTTAAGACAAATTCTCTTGGTTCCATATTTTTACAGCCAAACAAGCCCTTGATGTGGTCTAGTCTCATTTCTTAATAGTGAAAAATATATAAAAAAGTGGCAATCGAGTATATTTTATTTAAGCACAATCGGTGGCCGTCACAACTCTTAATATCAAAGGACACAAAGCATATTACACACTACATGTATTTATATACTAACAAACGTTTATTGGTTTTGTTAGGAAATTCATTTCGTAACTTAAGTGGACTATCAAATTATAAACACACTATATTTGTTATTCATTTTGATGGGATAAATTAAGTGATCGATTTTATGTGGCCCATGACTTCTCAAGCTCGATATGGATCCAATGGGTGGAAACCAAATATATGTTCACTTGGATTTTATGGGAGCGCCCATGGTGGAACTTGTATATAAAGGAGTTGAGGTTGTGGTCTCCAACACAGCATGACCAACACAACTCTCTTCTTCTCCCCATCAGGAAGATCAGAGAACTCCCGCATAGTAGGGGTGGGCATTCGGTCAGTTCGGTTAAAATCGAACTGAAAAGATGATTATCGGGGTTTCGATTTCAGATATATGGCAAACCGAATTCGAACCGAATTAAAAATTGGTTTGATTTGTCCAAACCGAATTATTAGTCGGTTCGGTTTGTCCGAACCAAATTATTATTCGGTTCATTTTATGACCAAACCCGAAAATAGTTACTATTTATTTTATCTCTATGTTTCTGGTGATGTTGACCACGGAGCTTTGCTCTTATCTGATCGACCGTATACCCATGCCAGTTGCCCTCTCTTTCGCTTTGATAACCGTTGGGCGGATAATCCGGAGGTAAAGGCTATGGTTAATTATGTCTGGCTGGAGGAGATCAATGGGACTCCAATGTACCAGCTATGGGAGAGGCTGAAAAAACTCCGCCATTTGCTTTGTGATTGGACTAGGACGGGGACTACTAATTCTCTGCGGAAAATTAGGACCCTCCAAGCTAAAATAGATCTGATTAAATTGGTACATCCGATCAATTGGGAGGAGGTGAAGGTTTTAGAAGCTGAATTGACAAGATAGTGGGAGGCTGAGGAGGTTTACTGGCAACAAAAATCGAGAGTTTGATGGCTTAAAAAGGGGATCATAACACTTTCTATTTCCATACTGTCACCCGGTATGGGTCACTAATGAGAGAGAGAAGGCTGACATAGACACTGATTTCTATCAAACTCTTTTCCCTTCAGAGACCCAAGTGACGCATATGGAAGCTAGGGTGGCGCACCTTCTGATAGATAGACGTGTGACTGATGAAATGAATGATAGTCTGACGGTTGAAGTCCTCCCTGTGAAAATATGCCAAACTGTCTTTTCCATGGGCTCGAAGTAGGCCCCGGGATCGGATGGGTTCACTGGGAAGTTTTTCGAGTCCTTTTGCGATATTGTTGGCGATTCCGTGATAGCTGCGGTCCGCACGTTTTTTTATACAGGCAGACTCCTCTGTAGCTTTAATCATACTTGGCTAATGTTGATCACTAAGGTTGATAATGTGGAGAGTATGAGGCAACTACGATCAATCAGTCTCTGCCAATTTGTGTATAAGGTTATAGCCAAGATCATGGTAGAACGTTTGGCTCAATTTCTCCCCCAGATTATTTCTGATGGTCAGAATGCCTTTATTCTGGACTGCCAGATTGTCGAGAATGTTCTCATTGGTCATGATGCATTATTTGAAAATCAAGAATCGAGGGAAGAAAGGGTACATGGCTCTAAAGGTTGACATGAAAAAGGCCTATGATAGAGTCAAGTGATCCTTTCTCCTTGCGGTTTTGAACAAATTGGGTTTTAACTCTACTTGGCAAGCCTGGTGACTCGCTCGAAACTACATCGCGAATTAATCCCAACTAGGACCTAGTTTTTAAACTCTAGCCTGGTGCAGTATAGGGCAAGTAT